CATTACCATAATTTATATTAAGTATTAGAAGCTATGGAAAACAAATGCAAAATGCATTCCTTTCTTTCTGATTCCTGAGTCAACAGAATGATTAAACACCAGACAAATCATCTTCTCAAAAAACACTGAGCTATGAAAAGAACCCACCAGCTTGAAATTGAACCTTATTTGCACAAGGCAGTTTTTTAGCCAGATTAGCAGTCCTCTTAAGGTAGGCAAACTGTGTAGTAAATTTTAAACTTCTAGTCAGTCCTTTACCACTTTATTCAAAACCAGCACAGGTCTCCAAACCACAGCTTTTCCTTGCAGAACAGCACAGCAGTTACTTTCTCAGACAGTGTCAGCCAACACTCCAGCGAGCACAGGCCTGCATTAAACCTGCAGCCTGAACTCTCCAAACACCCACTTTGAGGTGCTCTCTCCATCCACTGCACCCCAGCTCCACAGACACAGCTGCTTCACTAAAACATGCTCCAATCAACACTGACTACATTATCTTAATGTCTGGTGCTGTCTCAAGGTGAGGGAAGACTTACAGAGACATTCACCACAAGATCCGCTCATAATGGCCTAATGCCTGTTTTTAAAAACAAGTAACACACATGTATTCCCTTCCTCCAAACTCCAGCAATTCTGACAGTAGATGCTGGGACTTAAATTCAGTGCTCAAACACTGCTTGATTCTTCTTTCCCTCAAAGAAGTCAATCAAGTGGTTTGGCCTTCAGAGTATCTGACGTGTCCACGGGAACAGCAGCCACACACCCACTGCCTCGCTCAGGCCCTCTTAGGAGTCTGCTCACACCACACTCCTCTGTCACAAGTCATAGTTCCAAATTACTTTCCAATTAAAAAAAACTCACTGTAAGGTTGTACTTCCCACCGTGTCCACATCTTTGCCCAAGCAGTGTCTGTTTTCTCAGCACAAAGGACCATTCTCTGCAGAGCTTTCCCTGCATATGGATTTGCACACAAATCCAAGTGCAAGTACTTTCCTTACTAACTGATATTATGACGTGTTAACTCCACGGCAGGGTACAAACCAAGAGTCTGTGTTAATATCCCTGAGATACCACCACACAGATTTAACACTGCAATACAGCGTTATTTTACCCAGCTGTCAATGAAGTGCTTTATAATGCATTCTGGAAAAATGAGAGAACAGCCCTTCTCACATCCTGAGCCACGGGCTAGGCTACAGAAAGACAGCTTTCAGTCTTCTGATTTTGAAGAGGCAATGTTATTCATGCATTAAGCAGCTTTCAGGATACTTTGTACCCCATTTAGTGAGAAAAGTAATCGCACTCACACCCTGCAAAAAACAAGTAGAATTCACTACTGGCCTAAATACTTTGCTATGGTTTGCGCTCTTAAAATAAAAATATAGTCCAGGTGAACCTCAGCATGACTTTCTGAAAATACGAATTTACAAAAAACACTTGGCAATAACTTGAAAGTTGACTTTTTTCCCCCCTAAAAATAGAGTTCTTTTTTATGGCATTATAAAATGATTCATACCTGTCTTCATCACCATCAACAGGAATGGATATGCCAAAAACAGAGCTGGCAAGACTGTTCATTGGAGTACTTGCAGGTAACTGAAGAGGATTTGCTAGAGTGTCTGGAATGGGAGGCTTCACAAGAGGTTTATTTTCAGCTATAAGAGAAAGTGGTGGCTGAGGTAGGGGCTCCGATTTTCTTCTAGTATCATCAATCTGGCCCACTAAGGACTGGGCCTGGGTCTGAAACTGTCCGAGGCTCGCCTGAGGCAGACTGGCGGGTGCGGTGGGCGCACCTTGCATCATCGAGTGTCCGACGTGCTGGGACTGGACCGTGCCAGTGCTTCTGCTGACAGAAGGGTGGCTCGTCAGCTGGGACTGGACCAGCGTAACAGGGACGTTTGGCATAGCAGCAGAAGCGGTGGTGGACACACTAGGCACACTTGTACCGGGCACAACCGCAGGCACGCTCTGAACTCCAGGGACCACAGCATGGGGAGCGCCGGGCATTCCCGACACTTGACTGCTTCCCCCCATTGGATGCTGAGTCACAGATTTCTGTTGCACAACCCCCGTATGTCCAAGGCCTGGCTGCACCACACCTCCCGGCTGCGGGAGGGCAGGCTGACTCGCTTGCGCCTGGCCACTCTGCAACAACCCCGACCCCTGTCCGACTGCTTCGCTGGGCTGCGCTGACACCCCCATCACTGGCGCTCCCACAGGTGAGGGGTTCTGGCCCGTCACCTGCCCCACAGGAAGGCTGGAGGCCACAGTACTTGGAGCAGAGCTTGTAGCAGCCTGCTGAATAGCTCCTTGAGACTGCATAATTGTCATGTGCTGCATGTATTCAGCCTGCCCAGGAGGCTGCGTCGGCAGTAGATGCACTGGTGGAATCTGGGACTGAGAATAAGCAAATTGTTGAGGTTGAGTCACTGGTATGTTTGCCTGCTGCACCTGCTGCTGGGCCACAGGAATGCCTGACTGCCCTGCTGTCACATTTGGAGGTGCCATGCCTTTCCCGTTGGGTCCAGCCTGTGAAACACCCTGTGGATTTACCTGTGGTTGCTGCGGCACTATCATTTGCTGACTTGCTCCGGAAGCCCCAGAAAACACAGGCTGAGCAGTACTCTGAGGCACGGCCCCACCTACGGGCTGTTGCTGTTGCCCAATGACAAAATTAGGTTGCTGTAGAGAGGACTGGTTCATTTTCTCTGTCTGAAGCAGCTGTGACACAGCAGCCAGGGAGCTGTCAGCTATAGAATCGGGGCCATGGGCTGACGCTGGCACAGCCGAGATCACAACAGAACCTCCTGTGGCACCAAGGCCACTGTCCCTCTCTTGAGCAGCCTGTTCGAAGGTGCTGCTGTGCCTAATGCAATCTCCAGTCCTGCCCAGAACACCACCACCATCTGAGTCCCGGTCATAGTACTCCATACACGTCCATCGGCCTCGCCTGTAGGGCTCCCCAGTACCGTGGTCCAGCTTGATCACCCTGAAGCGTGAGCTGCAAGCAGCAGCCGCCGTCTGAGACATGGCCCCGGGGGCACTGGGTGCAGAAGGCCCTGTGGAGGGCAGGGAAGCCTGAGCACTGCTGCCCCCCGCCACAGCTGTGCCAGGAGCAACAGCTGGCAGGGGCACAGCCGAACTTTTGGGCACAGCCCCCCCGTTGGGGCCTGCAGCCATCCCAGGAGCAGCCACAGCCAGCTGCCCGTCCAAAACGAGATTGGGAGAGACGCTGCTGGGAGTTTCGGCCTCGCCCACGTTGTTGAGAGTCTCTTCGGAGGAGCTCCGCTCACAGACGTCCTCGGGGCCGTAGTCGGTGGCTCGGGAAACATCAAAGATTTCAGAAGACACGTCCTCGGTGCGGGACTCATCCGGGTCATCCAGGCTCTCGGTGTCCTCGGTAATGCTGCTGGCCACCTGCGCCGTGGTCACGCTGGTGATCTGGAAGCAGCTCTTCTTCTTGGCCGGCATCTTGGACATGTTTCCTCCGCAGGAAGGGGCTCGGCCGGCCGTGGCGAGGCGAGCGGGGTGCTGGGGCGGGCTGTCACGGCGTGCCGGCCGGGCCCCGGGCGCTACCGTACATCCTCCGGCGGCTTCCTGCGGCGGGCGGGGGGCGGCGGGGCTCCTCCTCTTCCTCCCTATCCGCAGCCCTCTTCCCGCGGCCGGGCCTCCTTCTCCTCCCTGCCGCCGCTCCGAGCGCCCCGCGGCTTCCTGCGGGCCGCAGCAGCGGGCCCGCGGCCCGCCCCGCGCGAGGGGCCCCGCGCTGGCCGGGCGAGGCCCGGGCGGCCCCGTGTCCCACCCCCCCCCCCCCGCCCCCCCCCCCTCCCCGGGACCCGNNCCCGGGGAGCGGCGCTCAGCGGCCGCGGGCGGGCGGACCCGCTGCGCTGCACCGGCCCCGGAGCTCCCGGAGCGCGGTAGGGCCGCGGCTCCTCTCGCCCAAGATGGGGCTCAACTTGTGCGCTGCACCCTGGGAGCGACGTGGCCACGCCCCCGGCGGGTGACGTCACGGCCCGGCGCAAAGCAGCGCAGCGCGGCGCGGGGGTGGAGGGGGAGTGCGGCTCTGCGGGGGACAGTTGGGATATGGCGGCGCACGCCGAGATCCCCCCCTCCCCTCCGGGGGTTGGTCGCGCCCGGCCGCACGCAGCCCCGGCCGGCGGCGAGTGCGCGGCCCCGCCGGAGCGCTGGCGAACCCGAGAGAGCGCCCTCGTCGGGCGGGGCCGGGCAGTGCTCCCGCTGCGGTTGGACCAACGCCGGGTCCGGGAGCTCAGCCGGGACGCCGGGGCCGGGAGCTGAGCCGGGACACCGAGTCGGGACACCGAGCCGGGGCACCACGGCGTCATTCCGGCTGGAACGGACCGCTGAGACCGAACTGTGCACCATGCCCACCTTGTCACCCAACCCAGAGCACTGGGTGCCACGTCCAGGCCTCCCTGGGACCCCTCCAGGGATGGGCACTCCAACCCTCCCTGGGCAGTTCCTGAGCCCCCTTTCCATGGGCAAATTCCTGCTGTGCCCACCCTGAGCTCTGCCCTGGGATGCGCTCCAGCCCCTCCATGTCCTTCCTGGAGCGAGGGTCCGCGCTGGGCGCTGGCGGTGCCCCAGCAGGGCCAGCTCGGGGACAGTCCCACAGCTCGGGGACAGTCCCACAGAGCAGGGGCACAGTCCCCGCCTGCTGCTGCGGCAGCGCCGCTCCTGACCCCGGCCTGACAGCGCTGTCAGCGCTGCAGCGAGGAATGGGGACTGTGACATGTAGTGTGGTCTGGCAAAGAAGAAAGGGAAATTAATAAAAGGTAAAATAGCTCAAGGACAAGGAACAAGAATGAATAAGGTGAACTGATTCACTAACAAAGCAGAAAGGTTTCTGAAAAGTCAAGTATGAAAATGGCTAGTCCACAGCCAGGATCCACACAGTAAACCACACAATGGCCTTGTCAGCGTTACACTGATAATATTTTTGTGACGTTGAATCAGTGCTGAACAATATTCCAGTATGTTGGGCACAAATACACTGATATTTTTATTAAGTGCCAAGCATGTACATATTCCTTTTTTTCCTTCAAGAAAAACATTGGCCACAGGTAGTTAAAAGGAATTCCCACACGCCTTCTGTCGGTGTGTGCGAGCGCCAGCGCTGTGGCACCCTCCTGGTGTCCGTGTGCCTGGATTTCAGACCTGGACAGGACAGATGGGGCAGGCAGGTCACCTTCACCATTACACACTTCGCTGGGAGCATCCCCACAGGTTTCAGTGGCAGTGAGATCCTTAGTGGCTTTCCTTGTGGTTCTCCTGTTCTCACTGCGGGTGATTTTACATATTTTACATATTTTGCCATTTAAAGATCATGCACCAGTCATGTGAAAGAAGTATCTCTCACACAGCCTCCGGACTGAAATGCTCCCACAAGTAATAGAAGACTAAAAAAGAAGCTCTTCTGGAGTGTGACAGTTGTAGGTATCCAGTGAAAATGGCACTACAATGTTTTGTTTGTTTCTAGAATTTTAAATGGGCAAAAGGTGGTGCTTCCCACTGATAGTGGCTGAAATCTGTGTGTCACTAGCACGCGCTAAACCCCTGAATGCTTATGGAGTGCACACAGCCACACACGTGCTCACACCCAGCCATGAATGCATGGCTGGATAAAGATCTATATTAATATATATATTATAAATTATTGTACATTAATAGTCATGTGTATTAATAGGTGTATGTGTACATTTAAGCTTTTGAAAAGCCCTGATATAACTTTAAAATTACAATGTTTTTCAAAAGAAAGATGTAGGAATATTAAAAGGAGTCAGTTTATTAGTATCTAGAGTGCATGTGTTCAGATATCTCAGCCTTTAATAACATTAGGTGATTACTGTTGGAGACGAAAATCTAGCCTGGGGATGGCATTGATCTAACAAACTGGGCATCCTCTCAAGTGTCAGGAGTCCAGGCTGAGACTGTTTGAGGGGCAGTCAGTAGGAAACATTCAGGGGATTGGTTTTTTAGCTTTTTTAGCTTAGTCTCACCCCTCAGTTGGTATTGACCTGCAGTACAGCCTTGTACAAGTTATTTTTCATTCTTTGATCTTCATTTTTTTCTCTCCCATCTATCATCTGCCTTATCTGCAGATACAGAGAACTGTTGAGGGCTCTACTTACCATTCTTTTGTGTGTCGAGTACTGAGACCTAAATTTTGGTCAGGCCATGTGATATGTCTTAGCAATAGTAACATACTGGCACAGTAATGAACAAGTGACAAGCAGTTTATTTATCCCTAGGGTCTTTTCAAATTTGAAGAGAAATTTAGGAGTTACTAAAAACTGGGTATTCTAAGAGTGCACTCTCTGTTTCTGATAACTGTTATATCAAATCCTGCATTAACATTATAAATTTTAAAATAAACAGTAGTATCAGAAATTCCTTACTGTAAACTGTACATTTTCCTTTTTATGAAAGTCGTGGTTCTAGACAGTAAGACATTGACTCAAATTATTCTTGTTTTTAAGACTCCTCTAAATTACCACAAATTGTCTCAAACCCAACTGAGATGCAATTGTAATTTGAATTTCAAGTTCTTTTGAATTTCAAGCTGTAAGACACAAGACCTGGAAGAGAAACATCAGGTTACAGACTGCTGGAGGGAAAAAAGGCACAGAAAATGGCAAATTAGTTATTTGAATGTCTAAGTGGGATTTTTGCATTTATAAAGGCCACTAACTATCCAGAGAACCATGAATAGTGCTGCAGTATTTAGCTTCAGGCTCTTCTTAAAGTTTCATGTGACAAAGAGCACAGAATTTTCCTCTCCCCTGACTCTAAAATATTGCTCTTTTTGTCTTTGTAGTGTTCATAGTCTTCCACATGGGAAATAATAGGCGCTAAATCCAACAACTAATGAAAGAAATCATAGGAATGACAAGTGAGAAAAATGGACACTGTTTCACACATTGAAACACATTGAAAATGCAAGCAGAAATGAATAAATGTTATGAAACACCATCAGCTGTTGTTAGCCTGATCCTGACCCCTTTCAAGTCAATGCAAAAGCCATCAAATGTCAGTGGCAGGTGTGTCTTTCTTTACTGAGAGATGTTAAAATCCAGGATGTACATTTGTACAGATCAACAGACAGGCCTTTAGCACATTAGGCTGTTCTTCATGATGGGCACCTTTACTTTTTCTGTAGATCTTGTGCTGCTCACAGTTGTGGTGTTTGAACAGGAGCAGCTCCTCTAGTCAAACAGCACTGTTCTGTAAATATTCTGTAAATTATTCTGTAAATAACTGAGGGAAATGGCAGCATTCTGTGGAGACTGCTGATGCACTGGGGGGTCTGAGGTGGTCTCTTGGTGGATGGGTTACTGCCAAAACCTCCTGGGCTCTATAAGCCCCTGTATGGTTTTCATCTGTGGGATTTGGCTGTTCTTATTTACCACCGTTGTTCTCAGCCTTGCTGCCTGCTGTATTTTGAACCATTTGTGGTTTAGAGGCAGAGGGAAGAGAAGTGGGGACAAAATCTGAGCTGCAAATCTAGTTTGGGACTGTTCTTGATGCTAAAAAAGAACTGTGGATTTGGAAGTCATCATAAGGCAACTACCATGTTTTGGCACTAATGATGAATTACTGCTGCAAGAACAAGAACAAGGCTTTTAGGGAAGGCACAGAGCAGACCTGGGTTTGGGCCATAGTTTTAAAGCCAGGAAATCAATCCTGGCTTTAGGATAAATAAGTCAGGTTGGTCTGTCTTTTCTTTCTCAGTTTGAATGTGAAACAGTTTGTAAACTGTTGCTATTTAGCTAATACAGTGGAATGCAGTGAAATTTAAAGACATGCAATGTTTCTTCAATTTGATGTATAAATAGATTACAGCATTTTCAGCATTCCAGTCTTATGATCAAGTGGAATCCAGATCAGGTTTCATTTAACCTAGTAAAGAGAGAAATGTGAACAGTTTCAGATAGCTCATGTGGCGTTCAGCAGCATATTCTCTCACATATTTCCAACTCAAGTAAAGTGTGATATCAATATTGGAGAAAATCCACATCTCTTTGATAGACTTGGTGTGTCTGAAATATTTCTGTTTGGCATGGTTTTATTTTAATGGACTTTTCAATAATTCATTGCTAGATTTTCTAGAATCTAGGTTGCTCATTTTCTTGAAAACTTCTGCTTTGAACAGTAAGTAATCACTTTGTGTATAAGCCATTCTTCAGACTTTCCACCAGCTTTATCAATTACATCTCAGTGTTCAAAGCATGAATAATGGCAGGGCATTTGTTTTTAATATGTTGTCTAAGCAAAAAAGGAAACATAGACAAACTTCAGAGAGCTTGTCAGATATTTTAAATAAGTACTATGGGGCACAATTTGATCTGTAGCTATAAATCCATTTACAGGACTGAGTTCCTAAAGGACTTTTGTAATACTTGGGGTAGAAGACTAAGAGGAAGTGTGGAGAGGAAAGACGGTCTGTTTTTAAGATGAGGGGCCAGTTACAGAGTAGAGATTAAAGCCATTGCAAATCCATAATAATAATGTTTAGGTGGCCCATTTAAATAGACTTCCCAGGGAGTCCTGATTGTTTGGAGTGATGGTATCTGTGCTGAGGAGCCATCTGCTTGGTTCAGGTGTGTGGGATGCTCAGGTTCCAAGGGGAATGTGTGCCTGCACCCCTCACCTTGCACTTCCAGAAGTGCAATGCCCTTTCTTCCCCTTTTACTGCGAAGCAGGAATTCAAAAGCAGAGATCAGAGCTGGATAAATAAAGGTGTGGGGAAACATGTACATATTTAAGTTCTGAGCAATTTTTGACAGCTCTATTGCTACCATATCATGTAGCACATGAGACAGCAGTCAGCCAAAACTGGTTCCCTGGCCTTTTTTGCCTAAACATGCTTCAGAAAACTTACAGTCTGGATGAGCTGTAACTTTCCTACAAAAGCACAAATGTGGGGTTTGTAGCAGGTAGTGGATTGATGGATTCCCTGTCTCCACATGGAATCTATGTATGCAAAGTATATACAAAAAAAAATACTACTTCTGTGGCTAATTCTTGCTTTTCTCATCCAACTGTACAGCTACTATCAACGTCTGTGACTGCATCTACTGAAATACTCCTGCTGCCAGACACTAAAATGATGTGGTGAATATAAACCTAAATTCTCTTCATGCAAATCTCTGCTTTTCTGCTGTTAATTTTGTTTTAAAACTTATATAAGTAGTTCCTCTGAAATCCACTAAAATAGAATCATCAGAAATTGAGAGCTTGCTAAGCAAAACTAAAAGTGTTTGGGGTAGACAAATAATAGTTGTTTATGAGGACCTGCATTTTGTATTGTTATTATTATTTTATAATTGAGCACTTCCATTATAAACATGATTAAAAGGCACAACTTGACCTTCATTAATGCTGAAGAAGTGATCTCAGTGTGTATCGGGTTTGCAAATTCAAACCATTTTCAGAGGTCTGGTTTTGGAGCCTGAGAAAAAAGAGAAAAGAGAACGTGGGGAAGTGAATGTTCTGACATTTGTCAGAGTAAACTGATGGAAGTGAGACAAACTACTTGGTTAAATGAAAAATACCACAATAATTAAATTACACTACTAAGATTCCCAAAGTAATTACCTGCTTCATGGCAAGTCCTAACAGATTCTCCATGAGAATTTTGATGAGTGGAATTGTCCTGTAGGTGTTAAAAGGTGTGGGAACTCTTTAGTAATGCATTGCAAAGAGGTGATACACTCAGCATCGTCATTCAGAGGATTTTTTTTTCCTCAGTTGCACTATAAATAATTCCATATGGATAAAAATTAGCTCACAAATTCTGCAAGTTAAGACTAGGAATTTTCTCTTCAGGGGCTTGTATTCTGCTGAGACATCTGAAAGTCATTAAAAGCTCTCGACATGGAATTGTCTCCAAGAAGAGGAGCAGTGGTCTCTGTGGGGACTAGTCAGGACATAGAAACTCCCCCCAAAAGAAGGAGACGGGGTTGTTGGGTGTTTTTCCAACCACAGTCCCACTTGCTGTTGTTTGCAGGAACCTGACAGCACCTGAAGGGAACTCGTGGATGTTCAGGTGTTGCTCTGCAGCAAGTGTGGCGTGGCAGCTGCCAGGTCAGGTGGGGAAGGATCTGCACAAAATGCAGCACATACAACCAGAGTAGGAGCAGCAGAACTGGGCCCTGGCTTTATCTCAGGGGAAATCCTGTGCTGGTAGCCCTGTCAGTGGCACTGGGCCCGGCGGGGCACAGCTGACCCAGCGGGAGCACACACACACACAGACAGACACAGACACACCTGTCGTGCCCAGCGGGAGCACACACACACAGACAGACACAGACACACCTGTCCTGCCCAGCGGGAGCACACACAGGCAGCGCTGCCAGGATCAGTGGCTGTGGCTGTGGCTGCACTGCCCGTGGCACAAGGCTGCACTGCTCACGCAGCATCAAGGCTTCTCCAGCACCCAGGTCCTGGTAGCTTGCACCTGGGGGAGTCTGCCCTTTCTTGACATACCTGCCCTGCTGTTACTACCACTGCTGCTGCTCCTTTTGTCTCTGATGCAGTAAAAAGCCTATTTCTGTTAGGCACCGGTACTCCCAGCACAGTGGCTGTGGGTCTCAGACCATCTCAGTTAGATGGTCTCCTGTTGGAGAACTCATAACAGGCTTTTATCCAGAGCCCAATCAAAAGGTGAGCACAAATGCACTGTCTGGCACAGTGTTTATGGGTTTATCCCATAAACCCCCAATATTTCACCTTTGGTCTCTCCAGTACAGGAGGTTTTGGCATTTATTCAGTATTAAGTCATAAACATATTTTAAATGATGCAGTCATACAAAGAAAAGATCAGCTGAAGAGACAGGGAAGAGGGTTCTTTGTGATTTTCTTGATCTTTTGGTTGTGTTATGCTGCCATACAAAAGCCACTCAGTTCCTCACCTTTCCCCCTCAGTGAGACACTCAGAAGAGTACAGATCTTACTATGAATTGAACACTGTCTAGATCAAAGATGTCCTGGGTTTTTAAGTTTCAGGACATTTCTTCACCTAATCAACTCAGAGCTGATTTTTTCTGTCTCATGCCCATGTCAAGGGCAGAGTCAGCAGCGGTGCCAGGGCCCTGTGAGCCACGGGAGGTGGCACGGTGCTGCTCGGGAGGGCACACAGCTCTGGCAGCAGCTGGCATTCTGCCGTGGGCTGTTTGCCTGGGACCTGTGTGGCCATCCCCAGCAGCCCGCGTTGTCAGCGATGCTGGTGCGGGGAGCCAGTGCAAAACCAGCTGGGCACAAGGTGAGAGCTGTGTGCAAGTTTGCTGGAAGAAAGGATGTAGGCTCTGAGAAAACACCCCTGTCAGAGGGGGACGCTGGGGTGGTGCACGTGTTCCTGTTCTCTGCCTGGATGAGGGGGACTGTGGCAAGCCAGACAGCCAGGGCTGCTTTGGGGTCTGGGGTGACACCCAGGGGGAGCCTGCCCGGGCACAGCCCGCTCTGGCTGGCACAGTCACATCAGCCAGGCCTTTGGAGTGCACATGGGTCACAACAAGCCAGAGGAAGAAAAATGCTGTGGAAGCAGGCTGCTGAAATACAGAACAGTGTGGTTCTATTCTGCGTAGCCCAATATCACAGTAAACCTGGGCAAATATTTCTGTGTTTACTCATGTGGTAAAAGACTTTTATAATGGTAAGAAAATACCTAGAAGGATAGATTTAGCATGTGGGAAGACTCACAGTGAGCTTTGTAAGAACGTGAAGGTTGAGTAATACCAATGTATACACAAGCAGCAGAAAGGGGGTAGTTTTTTAAAAATTAAATTTCTGCATGCAGGCATGCTGTTCAGATTAGCATGGCAGTACATACAGAATTTATTTGAAATTTCTCTTTTCAAGAACACAGACATATTTAAATATCTTTTCCTAGGGCACGATGCATAAGGAAATACCTGTTTTCTTCCAGTGTACTTTGCAGAACCAGGCCTTAAACACCATTTTTCACCCCATTGTAAAAAGAAATATGCCATCTCTTCCATACCATGAACTGTTTCTGAAGTGCTGCTTCTGTGAAGGGTACAAAGACACATCTCAGCTTCTGTTGAAATGTAATTAACAGGTGGATTTTAGGCAAATTTTGTGGAAGTTCTCCAAGCTTTATAAATAATACCCCTCGGGTTTTTTTTCAGACAGTAAAACTGAAACCTAAATTGGAAATTATTCCCCTTTACTCAAAACTTCAGACCAAGTCAGTGTCCAAAGTAAAATCTAAGGTTTCTTGATCTCCTGCCTACTCCTGTGAACACTGAGCAGTGCCTGTGTAAGCTCTCTTGAGCATATTTTGCAGTGTATGGTACATGTTGCACTAGTCTGTTGTTCCTGCATCTGTGTTTTTGCGGATGAATTGGTACCATGTAGGATATGGGGTGAAAAAGTGGTTTTGAGTGTTAAATGACTAAAGGATTTTCAAGCCTGTACTTCTTCACGGCATTTCTCAGACAAGGGAAACAAGGTTCTGTTCTGCATGTAGAAGAGGTGATGCACAGCAGAAACTTGGAAAGCTGGAGCTGAAGTTGTGCAAGGAGAAGAGAGATGCTTTCAGTTCCCTCCCACATTTTCTGTTTATATCTTTCCCTATCAGAATTGCTTTCTCATTCCTGCTTCCCATTTGTGTGTGTGCCAGCAGAAGGAATGTGCTGGTTCAGAGTAAGGTCCTCTGTGGATGGCCAGTGCTGCTGGCTGCCATGGCTCCCCAGAGCCACACTCTGCCAGGGGTTTGACATCTGCGTGCACTGAAGGCACATCAACTAAAATCAGTTTAGGTAGAACTGGGGAGATCTGGAATTTTTCTCCCAAAGACAAGCTGTGGGATGTGAAATAGAGCCAGTGACAGGAATCTGACAGGGACCTGCATTCTGTACAAAGAACCCCAAGTGACAAGTCCATATGACTTTTTCCTGTGGAATATGGACTGTGGATTGCTTCCTCCTATGACTCATAGACAGCTGTACACAGGTGGGATCCCTGTGACCCTGATTTCACTTTGTAAATCATTAGACTTAACACTTTTCAGACTCCTCTTGCTGAAATACTAAAATGAAACCCACTGCCTGGTAATGTCTGCTGGCCCTTGTTCCACCTGGGCACGCTCTGCTGCAGGGTTACTGGCACTGGCCCACTCAGCTGTAGAAGAAAAAGCTGTGCTTCTGGTATGATCATGATTCAGGACAATCCCTCTTTTTTGAAGTCATGTTTATAGGGAGTAGCACATGGTAAATTAAGACATTTGGAGGTCTGCAGATCCAAAGCTGGGTACTGCACAGCAGTGACGTTCTGGCCTATAAGCAATCTCACTGGGCAGAATGCTGGTTCGCACACGAACACAAGGGTTTAATGATGAAAGTGATCAGAATCTGATCCATAGCAATGTCACTGCACGCCTTAATGCTTGATTGACTCAGGGCTCTTCAGGAGGACAGAGAGGGAACAGAAAGGCAGAACGTGAGAGGAACTACATGGTGAAAGAATGCACAGGGAGGGCTCTTTCCTGCAGCTGCTGAAGCCCTCTTTTATCTCATAACAGTCATTCTTTAAAAAAAAACGAACTGAGAGAAGTGAAGATTTATTGCCTAGCCCTTTGATGCCATGGTCTGCTGAAGCATGGAGAATGGCCTTAAGAAGTGGGTTTAGTGTTCTTTTGTGGTAAGTTACAAATGGCAGCAAGAATGAGGAAATGTGTCTAATCCTTGCATGGACATCGATTGATTCAATGGTATCAAGTGAGTTTCTTCATCTCATTGCATCACAGTTACTCCATTTTTGAAGTCAGGTTGATGACTATCAAGCATTGTTCATTGTTTGAGATCTGCAGTTATAAAATAGGAGCAGCATGGGCAGAGTCAGGATGACAGATGCCCCACATGCAGCTGTGGGGTCCTGCCCTGTGGCAGGAGCTGTGTGCTGCCCACATGGGTTATCCATTAGCCCACAGCAGTTGCCAAGTAACCACTGGAGATTATGAAAAATCTAATACTCAGAATTAAAAACTGTGGAAAGATCAAAGTTCACTGCAAGACCTCTCCCAAGGCTTCCTTATAATTCCTTGTTTGGGGAACATTTTAAATTCATCACTGACATTATTTTTATGTTGCAATTCCCAGAGCCCTACTCAAGTTTTATGCATCAAAATGGATAATTGTGTTATCCAACTAGGTCTTCAGAAATTGACTTCTATCTTTGATACCCAATAGCTGCAGCCACCTGTAGGTGTTAGGGTTTGGCCATGGCTATAAACATCTGGCTATTATGTATTCAGAACTTATCTAGATACTGCGTCATTTACAGTGAGCAAAGGTGTTCAATGTGGAGTCTGATCCTTTGGATATTGCCTAAGGAACAGCATTTAAAGTTATGCTTGACCCATGCCAATCCTGAGCAATTCCCAGAAATCTCTATGACATGACATTTGTTTTCTGTAATCCAGGATGTACCTTTGTAACCATAACTGTTTTTGCACACATACGTATGCCTCTAAAACTGTCTGCTTCTGTCTAACAAACATAAGAAATTTTTAGAATTATATTCATTTTGGGGACATGCATTTATATCTTGGACAAGACTAAATTTATAAGCCTTGAGGGTGATATGATATGGCTTTTATCCTAAATTTAATTTAATTTTCAGTTCTGTTGATAAATTTTCTGTACTGATTTCAAAGTCATAGGGCATGTTAGCTGGATGGCTAAAATTTCTAGAGAAAGGGGGTTGTATATTTATAAGGATAACAGTAATATTCAGAGTGACATTAGTAAGGGTTATAAAAATAATTAAGAGTTGAGTTTAAGAATTAATACATGACCACACAGAATAACAAGTAAGGAGAAGGAAAATGCAATTCCTCTGTTATGCCGTCCTCTCTCTCATGGCCTGACAGGGTTGGACACCAGACTGGATCCATTACTTTAAACAGAATTCCTCTTCTGCTCCCCAGGGGAGCAGACACCAGTGAGGATGGGCACTGAGATCTTGCAGTCCCCCAAATACAGTCTTGTTTCCCTAGGGAACATTTATGTTTTTGGCAGTACATGCTGCGAGCCTGGCTGTTTCATGCTGTGGGAAAACCAGCGTGCTTGCTCTCTGCATTCTTACCTGGAGCTGCCTGTGCCTGTTTGTTCCCTGCAGTTTGTTCTCCGTCCCTTCCCAGAGCAGGGCCATGCCTGGCGGTGACTGCAATGTGCAGGAACTGGCACCGGGATAAGACCATGCTTGTTCTGCTCTCTGACCTGGAGGAATGTAAACTTGCTGACCTCATCGATCTGCTGACGTTGGCAGATGCTCCTCCACCTTGTAATTCAGCATTATGCTTATTCCTCACACTGCACCGTGCCGTGCATGAGCCAAAGACAAGTGCTCCTGTGAGATGCCACCATTCCAGGAAGCACAAAAGCAAACTCCTCAGGTAGGCTGAGGTGAGAGATGGCCCCAAGGAGGCCCAGAGTCCTCATTCCCTGGGCAGGCCCATGAGAAGGGACCTGGCTACTGTGCTAGTTTGTGCAGACAGTGCCTCAGAGGCTACAGTGTGATGGGCAACAGTCTCTAAGCACACCACCTGAGTCCAGGTGAGCTGTGGGGAAATCCTCTTGGGCATTGAGACACCAGATGCCCACCTCCACAGCTGCATACCTCCCTGCAGGCGTGGGAGCCCACATGGAAGGTGCCTCATTAATTCCCTTTGGAACATATTCATTACTGGTGTGACTTCCACATGCAAGTCTGCTGTCAGCAAAGCTCACAAGTGTGCAAACTGCATCTGCTGTCTTACCTGAAACCTGTCTTCTCCGTGCTCCGTTGCAGCTCAGGCTGGCCCCAGAGGCAAATCTGTGACATTCCAGTTGAACATGGTTCCACGTGAAGGTGGCATAGCCCTCTGCTGCACGGGGGCAGAGAAGGGGTTTCTGAACAGGATCCACCTCTGAGCAATGCATGGAAGGAGCAGATTGTCCCATACAAAACTGCAGTCACCACCGAGGAAGTGAGAAGTTGGCACTAACCTCTCATCATATATCCTCCTTTTCTCCTATAAAAGGGGGGGCTGGAGCACCACACTTGTGTGTCATTAGGGAATATATCTGTGCTGGGCTATATATTGTTTGGCTTTACTTTGATTCCAGAAGCTGTAGCAATATGGGTCATGATTTACATCTGTGGTAGGTTGTAGTAGCAAGAAGAAGCAAACAACTGTTCTTGTATTTGACATTTTAAGTGCCTTTTAGCAATGTTACTATCCAGACAAACCAACATCACTTTGAAAGCTACTGTGGAAATTCACAAACGATGATATAGCCAGAGACAATTATAAACATGTAAAACAAACAAAGGTGGTGTTTTCTAAACATGAGTCTAAGGGCTGACCACTGGCTCTCCATCATATGCATTCCATGGATGTGTTATAAAGAGTGAATTTGTATATAGAGCAAAAATTTTAAAATAGGTCATAGTTACATGCAAAACTAACACTTCTCCTTTAAGGATGACTGGCTGAGAGCCATATCTCCCCAGGAGCAGTTGCCAACTCCAGTGAGGATAGCTGTGGGAGCAGAGGGACCTGAAGTCAGGTCCACTTCTTGTTTGCTTATTCTAGCAAAGAACCTTCTTAGAACAGTCAGAAAAAGCTCTTTATTCCTGCAAAGCTTGTGGCATTATCCCCTGTAACCTTCCTGAGGGTGGGGAGTCACTGCCAGAACCTTTGCACAGCTTCCCTCTGAGGAGTCATCACAAACCCTGGCACTTCTCAATGCAGAACCAAGTTACACCAACACCCTCACTTCAAAATGCAAGGGTTATTGCTGCAGGAATAAATCCTCTTTCTTAGAAACAGAGGCATAGAATGGAGCAGGGAAATTGAAAGATTTAGTCTTGCTCCTGCTGCAAACGCTTGAAATGCATAAGACTGAATTATCTAGGGAGCATGTCACGGGTCTGACAAAACCCAGCAGTTTCAATTAATGGCCTCTGTTCAGCTGTCAGAACCCAGTGGGTCTGCTGACAACAGAGTGATGACAGATCAGCTTCCACTGACATCCTGTGTAGATGCTTTTAAAGTAGTAAAACATACATTTAAGAATTTATACTTAGGCATGAACACAAAACTTGAAGTCTTTCACAGGTGCTCAGATTTGTATCTCAATTACAGATTCCCTTCAGTGAGGCATGCAATTTAAATCCCCAAACCAAGTCAACATGACACAAGAATGATTAATTATTGAACAAAAACATATAATCATGACCATCTGTGGATAAAAAGAAGAGGGGAATTTCACCACTGCAAATACAAAATTCACAGTTGTAAGACCTGGAATCGAGCTTGGAACTTTTTTAATTAGCCAGGGGAATAAAGGATTTTGGAATCACTACAATGACTTAACATGGCTTTGGGTGCTATTATTTTGTTTTGCAGTGACAGAGACCTCTGCAGGAGAAAAATGTAGAATCCCAGCCTAAAATCTGCCATTGCAGAGGTAATGTCTTTAACCTCACATGGAGCCAGGCCTGGCCACCTGCTCAGGAATGCTGCTGAAATGCAGCAGTGAGAGCAAGTCAGCCCTTCCACTGCAGGTGTGCCAGCAGGGATGGCTGCTGGGGCTTTGCACGGGGAGCTCAGAGCTCCCTTTGGCAAGGAATCTCTCCGTTTCCTGTGAGGTACACGCATGGCACGTGCAGGGCAGCGATTCTGTCACAGCAGACTAAGCCCGTGTGTTAGGCTGTCCCAGAGGCAGCAGGGGAGCTGAGCTCCTGCCCGTGGGGCGCTGTGGGTGCAGCTGAGAGCAGCAGCTCTGAGCTGCCTGTACCCCACGGCACCCTCTCTGCAGCTGCCCTCCTGCTTTGGAGGAGGTTCTTGTTCAGAGAAGGTTCCCTGAAAGACCTTTTCTTTGTAGGAGAAAATAAACATATTCTGGGGACCCCTGATTTTAGGAGAAGCCTTAGAGCCTTTGGGAAACAGCCTTCACCTGTGTTCTGCAGGCCGGGGATGAGAGTTTCTGTGTGCCTCTGACGATGTGTGGAGAGATGTGCACTAACTCCCTCGCAGGGAAACACAGCAGAGAGCACTTCCAGCAGCAGGCAAGGGCACCAAGCTGGGCTTTCCCTCCCTGCTGGGCAGCTCTGGTCTCCATGGCTTGCTCAGGAACAGGAACCAGGCGTGACTTGCACCTCAGCTGAGCATGTAGCCAGTGGGAAAAGCACTCCTGGCAGCAAAGAGAAAGCAAGAAAGTGAAAAGTGACAGAAATGGGCCTTCAGGTGAGCACTTGTCTCCATATCACCCCTGAGAGCGAATTCATATGCCCTCAGACCCATTGTTGAGATCCTCAATGTAAACTGGGTTTCCCTGTGCACACACCAGCCCTGTGTGAGCACCTCTTGTGCAGCTGCTGGCAGATTTTGGAGGTTCTGAACCTATGACCAAAAATAGGTGGGTCTGGTTTCCCTAGTCATGGTGTTCAGTGTTACACATGCCATGATGATGAAGCATTGTAAATCATGAGTCTGCTTGCATACACTGATAAACCAGTCATGCAGAAGGTTCCTTGGAGTAGGAATTCAGCAGAAGGCATTTCACATCTGTCAGAAATAATTCAAGGGTGTGGAATGACTAATTGGGAACTGCATGAATAATCAAGACTTCATTTTCAGCAAGACAAAGCCATGAACTTTTGTCTGGCACATCAGTAGGGAATACGTTCCCTTCATTAAGGCCCATGTTCTGGGGACTGATGCTAGCAAAAATACCAGAAGGAGAGATTTTTGTGATGATCACAGAGTGTCCACTTATAAAGTGCAGCTCGTAAGTCTAGCTAAAGGACAGAGCTATTTGAGAAGCAGATGATGCTATGTAAACCTTAAAAATAAACTGTTAAACTGAAAACAAAGACATAAGATTTGAGAGTAGAATAAAAAATGGAAAATGAAATCAGCCTAAGCTGAGGTTTTTAGTATTAAGCAAGGACTCAGATCTTTCCCTTGGCCAAGTCTAGAAACCAGCCACTGGTCTGCCAAACACTACTGGTTCCCACTCGGGTGGAAACGAGGAGCTGGGGCTCCTGTTTTTCCCCTAGACTGCAGAACAAGCAACAATAGGAGTTGTGCTGGTCTGAGGTCTCGATTTGCTGTGCTGTGTAACAACAACGATGAGAACGGGGGAGAGGGGATCATTTTCCATCCGGCCTGTGCCAGCTCAGAGCCCAGGCACCCTGCCGGGTCGGGGGCTGGGGCCCTCAGCCTGTTCCATCAGAGCTCCCAGGTACTGCATCCATCCCTGCACACAGAGCTGTCCGTCCCAACAGCTCCGAGAGCTGCAAACACCGGCAGCACCCAGGGACTGGAGACTTGGCAAATGTGATAGATGGCAGGAAAAGCTTTATTAGCTGAGCACAGGCTGGGAGAAAGCTTGTGAACTCTGGTCACAGGTTATAGAACAGACAAAAGCATGTCAAACAAGGGACACTGCTGGATTTCTATGTGTACTGAGGTCCAGAGATTGTCACAACAGATTTTTCCAGCAGATTTTTTCTTTATACAAATTGTAAAATACCTCCAAAAAGTACTGGTTAGGTGACAGGATCTGCTCTTTCAAGGACAGGGCTAGGGCTAAACCCATCATGACCAACTTGCCAGCACTTCATATAAGCTGATGCCATGTGAATCACACGGTGAGTGGGAGCTCCCAGAGCTCAGTCCATGAACAAAGCATGTCTTGGAGCAGAGTGAGGAATGCAGAGGCGTGTGCTGGAAGGTGTGGCAGGTATGTGTGAGCTGTTAATGACCATGCTGAAGAAACCCTGGTGATGCAGAGGTGAAGGAGTCCAAGAACTGGAGGAGTCCAGAACCCATGCTGTAGGATCAGCTGAAGGATGGATCTGCATCCACAGCAGCTGCTGCAGGTTCCTGGCATAGAAATGCTCTTCAGCAGCAGCACTTGGAAATGCTCTTCAGCAGCAGGTATGGGCCTGCACTGGTATTATCTTAATTTTCAAAGACTTTGTCATGCTTTTCAGAGCCATTCAATCTTTCATTTGAGACTTCACTGAATAGGGCACTCCATGGCTACTACCACTGTTCTCTGAACCAGCCTCTCTGAAGGTGACCTCCTCCACTTACAAGTGCGGAAAGGCAGAAAAATTAGAGTTTAATGGGCGGAACTCTGGACGGAGCATGGATAAACCCAAGAGGTTTAAAAGATGAAAAGTGGCAAAACCACTGACTAGCATTTGCAGAGCTGAAATGCAAAAAGCTTAAGTTCTGCAACTTGGAAAGCACGGAGTCTGTCTAGTTGTGAGTCAAAATTGTGGCAGGATCTGACCCTGCCTGCTCAGCCCTGCAGCTGAGGTTCTCTTCTCCATGTTATGGGCTTTAGCTGTAGCAGAGCAAAGGGACCTGCACCATCCTGGCAGGAACACTGCTCTGCCTGCCCGCACTGCCTCACTGCAAAGAGTGGCTCTGAATTACGGGTGGGCAACATTCACCAACATGCATTTCCCCAGAAAGTTTGGTGCCATTCACCTTATCTGCTCCAAGGGCTTTCTTAACCCCCTTGAGGTCCCATGCCACTGGGGAGTGCTCTAGCACCCCTGGAACAATGCACACCTTGCTGGGGAAGTGACCTGTGGGCATAAGTGATCTTTCCTAACAGCTGGCAGCTGTCCCACCCAGGCCTCACCTGCATCCCCTTCAGCAAAGGAAGGATGGGGATCAGGCTGCTGGGTGAACAGCACGGTCCTGGCCCTGTGTCCAGCCAGCACGGCACGACCAGGCATGCCACCCACAAACATTCCCAGGAATTCCAGGCAGGAGACATGCCATGTCCATCTCATCTTGATTTTTGATATTTTTCCACCCTAAACACTTGGCCAGGTGATTGTTGGTTGGCTTTTTAAATTTTTCTGTGTGGTAACTGAAGATGTTTACTACCAGGCAGGAGTTTTGTTTCCCTAAGAGCAGCAGCCTCAGCTCCGGGAAGCAGGCAGCTTCAGTGGCTGTACCAGGCATCTACTGACCTCAGGCCTTATTCTTTCACCTCTCTTGTCACTGACCTGTGTCTTCTGGGGCTGTGGGATTGAAGATATGATGCCAACAGCCCTCCCTTCTGGGGAGGTGCAAAGGGAACACCAGACGTTGATTTCTGGTTGTCTCTGTTCACATTTTGTACTGGAAATTCACTGATAGGCATTGAAGCATGAAATGCAGCGATTGTTTGGAAGGTGCCCAGAAAACCCTGACGTTCTGGGAGTGAGTTATCTTTCTGCAGTTTGTCTAGCAGAGAGGCAATGTGGTTCAATGCAACTTTTCTGCCTATAACCCGAGGTGATGCTGGTTGCTTCAAGTCATAAGCAGCAAAATCTCAGGGCTGTGAAACCCTCCAAGCCAGGAGTGGCACCTGTGTTAATACAGAAAGACACAGAGTTTGTTTCTGACCCATTTCCATGTCATAGGGTGTTATAATTCTGTGCTGTTAAGCTGTGCTGACTCTAGACACGGTTAACGGGGGGGTGCAGCTGGGTGCTCACTGCAGGAGGAGGAGGAGGCTGTTGGGGCAGGGGCAGCTTGGGGCTCACCAGCAGGCTGGCCTTATCTCAGCTGTCACTGGGAGCTCTTCAAGCCCTGCACTGAAGGGCTGAACATGTTCAACAGCTTCACATTTGTCTTCTCTCTCACAGACTTTCTCTTCCAAAATTTCTGACTGCTAAGGGCCACTGCCAAGCTGGAAGCCCACTGTCCCCTGGGAACTCCAGGCGGGGAGGGGGCTCTCTCCATTCCCAGGGAACTCCAGGCTGGGGGCAGGTGCTCTCTGTCCCCTGGGAGCCCCGGGCCAGCTGTGCAGGGCAGTGCTGGCACAGGTGGGATCAGCTGCTGGACTCAGCAGACACTGAGCATGTTTGCCCAAGGATTAAGCAAGGTAAGCCTCCGGGCTTGTCCATCCCCCATTTAGGGGGCCCAGTCCCTTTACCTTTGTCTGTCCACAGGGTATTTAAAGGCTGGTATTTAAAGGCCCTGGTCCCTCAGGAGGACACCTGAGGCAGGCAGGACGTGCTGTGGCCACACTGCCCTGCTGAGCCCCTTGCCCTGCTGCTTTGGGCAGGCACAGCTGCTGGCGTCTGGTGTCTGTTCAGCTTCACTTTGAGGTATTTAAACTTAGCAAAGTGGCTTTTTTTAGATCCATATGCATAGATCAGGTGGTCACCTGTGTCAATATGTTTATTCACAGATCCTAGCTCAGGGACCAGCCTTCTCTAAACATAATTAGGGCTATTTAAGTAGATTACCTCTCGGTTCACACAAAACACCATGAATTCCCTCACTGAGCAAAAACTCCAGGTGGCACGAGGGTGAAAAGCAACAAGGATTTTGCTGTTGAGTGCCTCAAATATTTCTATGATTGTACTGTCAATGGATGTTTACTTCTGAAGAGCTGCCCAATATGTCTACTCTGCCATTAAGTCAGTTTTCAGACCAGCAGCTTCACCAGGCATTTTGGCAGCTGCTCCCACCTGTCAGCCTCCCTCACCCTGGCTCATACTAACTAGGCTGGAGGTATAGGCAGCAAAACCTGATTTGGGGCTGGATGTGAAGAGAAGCTTTTCAGCTTTTGTCCTTTTGCCTGCCCTAAAAAATTTGATTTCTGGGATTCCAGCAAGGCCATCACACTGTGTGTCTGTGTGAGTGTTGAGCAGAGCTCAGCCCCACACCTGGCCCCAGCTGAACTATCGGGTCATCTGGAACATGAGTCTCATTTTCAGCAATGAGTGTTGAGCAGAGCTCAGCCCCGCACCTGGCCCCAGCAGGCACTGAACTATCGGGTCATCTGGAACATGAGTCTCATTTTCAGCACTGCACAATTTTCTCCACACTGATGTTATCTTTGCCATCAGCTACTGGCATGCAGCAGCTCACATATGCCATTAGCAGGTGGTAGAAGACATAAATGGAATTTTCTCTCAGAACATTTCTTCCATTCTTCCTCCCAGACTGATGAAGTACAAGTTCAAGCTAAAGGCATGTAGTGACTACAGCTCGTTCTCAAACAGGGCCACAGAGAGTTAAAAGCAGGCTGCAGGAGAACTCTCACATCTTTCAGTCTCGCTGCCATGGTCAGCTCCTCAGCACAGTGCCCTCAGAGCACGGGCAGTGCAGCTGTGTGTGGCTGCACTCCTGACCCTCGGCGCAGTCGCTGCGGGGAGCTGAGGCACCTGCCCACGGTCTCAGCAAGCTGCTGCAGCTTGGCAGAGCTCTGGGCCCTGGAGATGGACACAGAAATTTATGGATCAGGCAAACAGATCGCCAGAAGAGGCATGAATTCAGGAACACAACATGTGCACTTTGTGTGGCCTCCAAAAGGAGGAGGCAGAAGCATGAGGAGCTCCACATCATCCCACAATTATGCTGCTGTGAGCTCAAGTTGGTCTGCCTTCCAGCAGAGCCACAGTCAGAGGAGCCTGGGAGCTGCTGCTGGAACCATGTGCCTGAGTGCACTCCTGACTCACCATTCACTTTTGCATCTGGATGCCTTATAGAAGACATAAATGGCTTTTTGAAAAATCTTATTCAGGGTTCTTCTTTTATTTTTAATATGATTTTTTTTTTCTGTCTCCCTCAACTGCAGCAAATCCTTCTCAAAGTTGCTCCTGAACCTGATGGAAAAGAAACCATGGCTCAGGACCCCCTTGGTCTCCAGACCTGACATGAGCCTTTATTTTTCATCTATTTTGTTTTGTCCTCAAAGGACAATTTCATTCCAGGTTCATAAACTCATACTGAAAAACAACAGAACATTTCCAAAGTCACAAAATTCTGTGGAATTGCAAGTCTAATGCTTTGGATCCAAAGCTCAACTTTGGATTTTTTCCCCCACAAAGATGCTTCGATACTTGACCAAATGAAAAGTGCTTCAGTGCTACAAGTGCCACGTTGATGCTCGTTTTCTGTCTGACCTGTCTCAGGGACTCTGTTTTGTCAGATAATGCAGATGGGAGAGGGGACTGTCATATGCTTTTGTTCATGAAAATCTTTACATTCCAAGGTTATTTAAAATAATTTTCTTCCATACAAACATAGTTTCTATTGCCCAGTGTGCTCTCTCATCATATGTGGGAATGCCATTCCCTGGTTTCAAGAAGTCTTTGGGTTTTTGAGCGCTGCTCCTTTCCCACGTGGGGGTGGTCTCTGCCCCCTTCCCCCTGTGTTGCTGGGGGACAGGGCAGTGAAGAGAACACTGAACTATTGAAGCCAGACTGCTGTGTGCACCTGGGCACAGCTGCCACTGGAAAGGTGCAGGGGAGAGGCACTTTTGTTCCAACCATAGAAATAACTTCCTTAGAAAAGCATTTTGCCTAAAGCCCACTATAGATTGCAGCCCCAGACAGGTCGCTTGCTTTGGTCCAGGACCAGAGCTGAAACTCTGCAGAGGGGGCATGGGCAGCCCTGGTGTGAGCACTGGTGGCCACACAGGCAAGGGATCTCCTGTGCCAGATGACCCAGGGCAGAAGGAAAGAAAAGGCAGTAAGGAAAACAGCAGTTGTAATAATTTTGTTGTACTGTGGGGGAAAAAAGAACTTGTCATCTGGCTAAGAAAGCAAATTCCACTGGATCCTAAATTTCCTACCTATCTCCATGGAACAGCTTCTGTCAAGTGCTGTCAATACCTCACAGTTCTCCCATGCTCCTTTCTTTTAAAGTTCAAAGTCAAAAGGTGACTTTGAGGTGGCTGCATCTATTTGCCCTTTTCTTCCCTTGAAGCAAACAACCAGTAACATTCCCTGGCGTGTTTTTCTCCTTTCTGAAGTTTCTTTCCTCCACTGCCCTCCTCCATAAAATCAGACCCCTTTTCACACATGGGTGAACCTAGAAAATCATTTAGAGTGGGAAGCACGTGAACCACTTCAGTGAACACCAGGTAATTGTATATTAGAGGCCTTTTGAAAGGTCATCTATTTCTGGGTAATTTTTCCAGGTGCTTTCTTAGTGAACTGAAGCTCAGTGGCACCGAGTGAAGAACAGGGTGCTTTGCACACATCTCCAGCTCCCTGGCCCTGTGAATTGCCCACCCCAGTCACTGTGTGAGTCCTCTGATGTTTTCTTTCCAAGATGCCCATCTCCACGTGTCACCTGCTTGTGCCATGTTTGCATCACTCACCTGTGTCCTGGGAACAGCTGAGGTTTTCAAACACACTGTGCTCATTAGACTCTACACTTTTCTGAAAAAGGCTGACTTTTCAGTTGTGTCAGGATACGAAAAACAACCTGAAAATCATGAGACACACAAATAGACACACAAGCAGACAGAGCACTGGAGTGCTGGTGAACCTGCCCGTCCGTGGTTGCTCCTGGTGCATTTTTCCCACAACAAGGATTCCAGGTGGGCTCATGCTGCAGCTTTACCTTCTCAGCATCACAAATTTGGGTATTATTCCTAACAAAGCAATAAACTTTGCAATAATAAATAAGAAACTAAAACATTAACTTAAATGAACTGACAAGTGTTACAGCTACCAGATGGTCACATAATCCCAATTTCCATTCAAAACCAGACAAAAAACATCAAGCAACACTAAAGAAACTTCATGTTCTTTAGTAATGCAATTTCAACAACAGAAGTAAAAAAATTTGGTTTATACTAAGAATGGAAGCACAGAGGGACTTCTCTAGATAGAATTTCTATTTTAGCAGAGATTTAAATTTCCTAAACTGATCTCGTTTTCTGAAAAACAATCCAGAATGGAGAAAAGAACAATGACACTTAGGCTGTACATTTATTAAAGGTTTTTCTAAAATTGCAAACCGGGCAATCGAGGCCCTGATTTGTCCTCCTGGGAAGGCAAGTACAGTCAGCTCCCAGTCCCAGATTCCTAATGCTGCTCCAGACACTGCCCAGGTTCTGCCAAGTTTGCCTGTGCGGGGTTCTGCTCCTGAGGCTGCGTTCCTGGGTTCTGACAGCAGCCACCACACAGCTCCAAACATGGCAGCGCTCACGGTCAGACACATGTGCAGAGGGGCATGTGAAGAGGCAGGAATGGCTGAAATTTTAATTAAGGAAAATTTAAGTGACATATCTATTTGAGAAAGTGATGGTTGTGCAGTGCAAGTGCATCAGTGCCAGACTCCAGAGCTGCAGCCAGCAGTGCCTTTGCTGCAGCAGAGCAGGAGCCCAGCTCTGCCCCCATGCCTTATAATTCTTTTTACTACTTATTGCAGTTACTGTTTGGAATGCACTTCACTGTGGAGGCAGCAAAGCCCCGTGGACATTTTACATTAAAGAAATGTTGATGTGACTGTTAAAGAGACCAAAAGGGATTTTGTGGATTTTTGAGTTTGCCCAAGTCCTGTATATTTGTATTTCTTGATACTGCTGCAGAGCACAGGAGACATTGACAGCTGTGCCTTGGCAGCAGCACTGGCCCTGGCAGTCTGTGCCAAGGTCATGGCCAGCAGCCCCAGCCAGCACCTCACTGACCCTGCAGTGAGCCGCACTCTCACCGCCACACAACATTAATTCTGACTTATCCATGAGAATGAACGATTTTCCAATGGCAGAATGGACTCAAACTGGGGATCTTGGCAGGCTCCAGCCAGGTGAAAGTTGACCCCTTTACAGTCTTGTGAGCACCAAGGAACGCCTCAGCCATTGTTCTGACGTGTAACGGGTCCATAAAGCGGCTCTGACCCCTGGCACTGCCAGAAAATCCTAAACTAACGTGTCTTAAACCTCTCTAGGCTGAGCTTGTCATAAGTCACTGATCTCTGCATGTTACTCATTCCAACACAGACTCTAGGGCTAACCACACTAGAGAGAAGAACAGCTGAGGACACAAAACACTAGAATAATTTTAAGCATTCACTACTAAAATACTGTATAAATTAAAAATACTGTCAGCATTTACACTAAAATCAAAAGCATCCTTAGTTTTAGGCTTTGTTTTACATTTCATGCTGAGTTCAACAATAAATATTCAATCACAAGAACTTAGTTTGAACATTCAGCATTTTAAAGACTGCCCAAAGAGAGTTTAAAGTGGGGCCTTTCTCAGCAGCCAGAGCGTGCAGAGGGGCTGCGGTGACTCTGTGGCAGCATCACCACAGAGCCTGCCTGTGGCAAGGGGCTACGGGAGGATGAATCCACCAGCAAACCAATCCAGGCTTGCTGTGCTGGCTGTTGTCACCCACCCAGGGCCCAGCCCAGCACAGACCAGCCACAGCTCCTGTGGCTCTGGCAGAACCTCCTGCCAGCCATGCACAGGGCAAGACTCATCCAGAGGCTCATGTGGCAACATCCAGAAGGACTGGAGACTGCCCAGCCAGGGATGGCTGCTCTGCTGCCCAGGCACCCCCCAAAGCTCCTGTGAGAGGCTGCACTGTGGATGGGAGAGATGTCTGAGCTCAGCAGGGCTTGAAGCACTTCATCACCAGTTTTCCTTGTTAATTAGTGTTAATTATTGCTCCCCAGCCCCAGGAAGCAGCAGTGCTTCACTTCCAGGTGAGCCACCAGAGGATGCACCCCTGTGGGTGGGACATGGGGAATGTGGGCCCATGGGAAGTGGGCACTGCCCCGTGGGACACAGGCACTGCTTCAGATGGGCACGTGGGACATGGGCACCACTGCAGGGGAATCATGGCCATGTGCCCATTGCTTCCTCAGTAATTGTACAGACTTCAGGACCACAAGTTCTCCAGAATGCCAAAGAGCAAATCTCCACACTTTCCTGCAGTAGTTAAATATTTTCTTTATTTATCAAAGCAATATCCTTCAGAAATCAAAAGCTCAGGTCCTTCCTCCCCCAATGCAGAATTCATGTGGTACCAGCAACACTCAGAACCAGTGACTCCTGTACAGCACTCACCCCACACCATGGCCATGCTCCCAGGACTGGAGACTGAGTCTTTGGGAAGTGCTGTCAGCCAGAAGTGAGTCTACCTGTCTCATACATCTGCTGACCCCCTGAAATGAGAGATTAAATGAAACTCATTAAACTATTCAAAGCAAGGACCAAAAAAATTACTCCAATGAGGAATACCGGCATGTAAAAGAAATGATACAGATATTATCAGCTAAAGAGGCTGCTGTCTCTTCCAGAACATGCTGCTGCCACAAGACCTTAACATGTCAGCTGGTATCACCACTAACACCTGAGACAGCAAACAAGAGCTAATCCTTACACCCTCCTTGTGCTAATGACTGCAGGAGATAACTGGTGTCCCTGGCAAATGTCCCATTTAATTCAATTAACTCCAGCCAAGTCCTGTTGATTGCACTGGCAGTGCCAGAGAAAGCCAGAAGGCAGATCTGGAGTCGGATGGTAAAACCAAGGCAGCCTCCACCACCCCTCTGTAGCCCAGTCCCCAGCAGCCAATCCCAGGGGTAACAACCAACCTGGCATCCACAGCAGCTTCTACAAAAGAGTGTGGAAAAGCATAATTTTTCCCTAAAAATGCTCATCTTTATTTTTTTTTCCCTGAGAAAATGCAGGCAACTAATTTTGCTTATTTATTCTGAAATGCTGGCTTATGTGTTGGTTTAAGCAGCAGTTTCACAGTGTTCCCACCCCCTTCCATGGGTCCAAGCCAGTGGGAAGATCATGTTTCTCCTAACACAAGGCAGATGTCTGCCAGCTGATCTGGGGGCACACAGAGCTGCTGTCCCCTCCAGGGGACCCTGACACTCGCAGAGATTGAGGTGTCTGAGGTATGAACTGAAACATTCTGATAAACATGAAAAATAAACTAACCATGAAAAATTAAGCTGCAGGAACAATTCGTATATTCCCTCAGTTGATACAATTTCCAGGTCTGTTTAATAGTAAAAAAATACTTTCCAAATATTTTCTTTTCCTTTTGAACATTTTTCAGCCGTGAGCTTCAACAGGCAGTGATGGATCTGCCAACTCACATTATGCAGTTACGAAGTTTTGAAATAGAAAAGAGATATGCAGAGAAGTTTCCTTGGTGGCACCTTTGAAGTGTAAGTCTGGGATAGCAGGTAAAATCCTGAGATGCCTGTACACTGCCAACCTAAATAGAAAGTGTATTTAAAGACAGGAGATTATCCATTCCTTGACATGGCTGTCATACCTACTCTGTTGTCAGGTTTGGTAACAGTTTTATTTGAAGGTCAGTCCAGCACAAATAACGCCCAGAAAAGCTCTTCTGCTGGAAAACAAAGCCTTCAAACCTTCAAAAGGAGCTGTAAGGACCTATATGTGACTATCAGCTTGGACATGTGTCAGAACCAGCATGAGCCAGTGGAGATTTCTGAAGCTTCACTGAGTTTCTTTGTGGAAAACTTGTTATGGCATTCCAGTCATCCTCCAGCCTTTGTGTATCCTCCAGGATGGCTGAGAGCACAACAGGGAAGCCCAAACAGTTAACATGTCACTGTGTTGCACATGCAAATCCACTGGAGAACAGCAATTCTCTGCAAATCAAACCCAGCTGCTCTATGTCAGCAACTGCCTTCCAAGTCAGAAAGCCTGTGCTGTGGGTCCACTCATTAACATTAAATACATGTTTAAACAAAATTCTACATCCTATGGACATTTTTCCCATGCCGTGGCTCCATTGGATAAAAGTGCTGAGCTCCCGGTACAGATGTTGCACTCATCTCTCATTTGTTCCCATCTATGTGTTTGGTATTTTGCAGAAAGGAAACAACCTCCCCACTGTGCTCCAAACCCAACTGTGCCCAGGTGTTTCCAGACAGCCCAGGCTACTCTGCCAGGCACCGCTTTTAGAGCAGTACCAGATCCATGAGGAATAACATGGGGAGACCAGAGCTGTGCAGAAATACCTGCAAGCAGAAGAATGCCACAAAGTGCAGCCACAGCTGGAATTTCCACCCCTGCCGGTGCTGAGGAATCCTGGGCAGGCTGAGCTCAGTGCTGCTGCAGCCCAGAGCAGGGGTGCAGGGAGCACAGCACACATGTCCAGGACAGCACCTGGCTGCACTCAGACCATGCCAGCACAAGAGGGACAGAGCTGGCCATCCTTCCTAGTGTCTCCCAGGAAGCCACGGGTGGCCACTGCCTAAAGAACCCTCCAGTCCTTCCTTGCCTTACAGGTACAGGGTGCATGTCTATGGCATCCTGCAATTAGCAGCCTCTCCCCTTCAGACCCCCAAAAGGATGTGTTGAGCCTTATATTTTGCCAGGTGAGGTGTCAGCCAAGGGGAAATTGTGCCTCATGAGGGCTGGTGCCCACGTGAGCTCTGTGCGTGGCAGCAGTGGGACAGCAATAATAAAAAATTGTATAAAAACCCCAGGGCCTTTCAAAGCACTTCCAAATGCTGCCCCAATTTCCCTGCTGGGTGTCAGGTTCTAGGAAGCAGCCACCCACACAAAGCAGCTGTGGAACCACATCTAAAACTGCCTCACCTGTGGTACAGAAAGAGCTGACAATGGCATTAGCATGAAACTAAAATTAGAGGCTAATTGGGTTCTGCAGTCACTGAAATTGATGACAGCTCAGTAATTAACATCCCTGAATTTTCTTGAGTAAAATAAACCTAAAATCTGCTCCCATTCATGCTTCTCCCTGCTCCATGAGCAAGCACTGTGGTAGCCTGGCACACTTTGCACACAGGGGAGTTCTGGCACCTCTGCCATGGCTTGTGGGGTTCCCAGCAGTTACTGGGGCAGGCATAGCTCTGGGAAGAGCCTGTGTATCTGCAAATCAGCATCATTTCACAAAAATGGGATGTGCTATCCAATGCCAGGGCATGGGAACCATCACCAGTGCAAAACACACACAAGACACCACCCAACAGAACCTGTGAGAGGCAGTGGCTAAAGGTGTGACCTCCGCGCAGGTACGTCTGGCAGTGATGCAAGACCAGTGCTGCTGCTGCTGCTCCAAGCAAAACAGGGAGATACCAGCATTAAAAAGTGAGGGACTAAAAGCATCTGCTCAGGATGTCAGTGGGACACAGGCCCAGCCTCTATCAGTACTTCTTGTAAGTGAATGAGAACATCTTCTGTTAAGGTGGGCAATAACACCTACCAAAAGGCACATGAACCTTTCACTGCACCTCCCTGGGGTGCATCACACATTTGGGGCACAGAAAAACACACCCTATTTAACTGTACATGTTATTTTCAAGTTGAGTGGGTTGTTGTTCAAGATCCATAATGAGAGACCAAAGGCACTGCCATTACAGCTGCAAGCAGCAATTGCTCTGCCTTAGACAATGTGCTGAAGACTTGCTGTGCAGGATACAGCCACGTGCAGCCTCTTCCAGGCTTTCTGTGCATGTGTGCTGTGTGTGCCCATCTGGCTGTGCTATGCTCACCTGCCCTTGCTCATCTGCAATTTGTGCAAGATTTCTGTGGCCTCATTTTCAGTTCATTGTTCTGTGCAACATTTGGAGTCTCTGATCCATAAAAGCATCTTATGGTGGTACATTCGGAAAAGCCACAGCATGCTTCTGCCTCCACTCACAGCTGAAGGCTCTGACTGCTGACAGAGCTGTGCTTCCAAAGCCAGCCCACCTTCTGTCCCTTCCTTCAGCTTGATTTTGCTGTGACCAGCAATTTTATCTGCACTCTCTGGTCCAGATGTCCTGTGGCTCTTCATGAGAACCTCCCAGTTCTGCAGTGACCCGTGAGGCAAGGAAGGGGCACGGTACAAGGCCTGTTCCTCACCTCAGCTGTGATGAAGACAAGGCCAGGGCTGGGCCCCCCTGCTGCTCCTGCTCTCAGAGGGTAACTCACTGCCATCACCACACAGCTCACTGCAGGCACTTGCTCCACTCTCCTGCTCCCTTCTCCTACACTTGCTGCAGGCACTAAATGTTCCCAGGCTCCCACAGCCATGCCTGGGGCATGCCAAGTCCATATGTCCTTTTCACACACATTTCCAAAGGGCAAAAAAATTCACTCCTTGGAGATCCCCTTCTCTGTGCACAGCTCATCAAGCAGAAAGAACAAACATGGCCAAGATGGCCACAAAACCACGTCATTGTTTAGAAAGGCTTCACTTGACACCCAAAGATATCAAGTCTATTATTTTGGGGTAAAGTAGTATAACCAGTTCTATTTCCAGTGCAACGTGCGTTACTTTTCTTAAGTAAATTGCTTTTGTACTCATTTGGCTTAAAAGTCTTGGTGTGCCAGGAAGAAAAATGTCTGCGTGTGTATTATATATCTTATACTACAGACATCCATTCCTTCCACTATTTATATCAGTATTTCAGACTATGATCACAGCACTCTTGGCTTTGTTCTAAACTCACCCCCACAGATTATGAGCAAACGAGTTTCTGCATTACAAGTCCACAGCTCACACTGTCCCTGGCTGTCCCTGGCTGTCCCAGGCAGTTAACCCTGCTGGAGACTGTTGCTCTGTGCTGGCTTTGAGGGGACCATGACGTTCTGCTGTCTGTCCGTGGCCAGAGGGGCACAGGGGCTGGAGTCCCTCCCTGTGGCTCTGGGTCCATTGGCCTCCTTGCCCGACTCTGCGGAGGGCACCGGGCTCTGCCCCCAGGAGCATCATCACGGGATGATGATAGAATACAGAATACAGACTGTGAAGAGCATGGATTTTAAGTGCCAGATCTTTTCTTGACTGATGCTCCCAGCTGATGGTGAGTTCATATTTCAAGGTAACATCACATTCATCAGTGTCACAAACAATCGCTGCCTTAAGAATCAACAAAATCCTTCTCTCCATTAGGTCTCACCTGAAGAATCCCCACATGCAAGGAATATGTCTGACAGCTCTCTGGGATGCCAAGGCATAAGCAGCATAAAGACTCATGTGCTGGTGAAAGCTCAGACCCAGAGCTGGAAATGTCCTGCTGAGCAGCAGCAATTGCAGCTCATGTCACAACATTCCCAGTAACAACAGCTGAAGATCCCTGTTTCAAAATGACTGAACATTACAGCCAAAGTGAACTCTTGTACTCATCACTGTAGCAGCCTCATGGGGTTCATTCCCCTCCCTGTCCCC